CGAGAATTGTATGGGAGGCGAAGTGGGCAAACAAAAAGAGGGGTAGACAACCCACGGAATGGGTCAAGGTTGTAGAGGACGTATGGAAGGGGCTCGACATCGACGAAGATGAAACGCTGGAAACGGAGGGTCTACAGGGGTTCAAGGAGAAGATATCTGTTGCTTGTGCCGAGAGAGAAAAACAGAATCTAAGGAAAGAATGCAAGAATAAGGAGGGTCTAGAATTGTACGGAATGCTGAAAGAAGGAATAGGGTTCAAGGATTACCTACATGGACCAATGGATGCAGAAACAAAGACCGGGGACATGGGCCTTCGAGAACGTCGACGAAGACATAAGACGGTCGACGAGGAAGACGACGAGTTCAAATGTGATTGAGGCTTCGAATGCGAAGACCGTGTTCATGCAGGCGCGGAATGTCCGTTGTACAAGAAGCAGAGGGAAGTGTACGTGACTGAGCTGGGAAAAATAGATGGAACGTACAGGGAGATGTTTGAGGCATGGAATAGCTAGGAAAGGACGGTAGCTGTACTGGGGCATAGGAGGTGGGTTGAAAAGGCGGGAAGGGATATCGTTAGGATAGACAGACTCGGGAAGGCATTTTTGAGCCACCTTTGGCAAAGTAGAAAGGAACGATTGGCCATCGGTGATCGGTCCTGTGGGAACAATGCTCCGTCCTCTCGAGGACGCGTGGTCAATGGTCTAACCGCCAATGCATGCAAAACATAGGAGTACGCCCCCCCCCCTCCCTCCCGGTGTTTACCATCGGGGTTGGGTATTCGTCACTCGGCAACGACGTTGTGAAACAAGCCCCCCCCTCGGTGTTTGCCATCGGGATTGGGTTTTCGTCGCTTGGCAACGACGTTGTTATACAAGCCAATTCACTTCGTGAACTCGGCAACCAGGTAACCATTTTTTTTTTTACCTCGTTGTTTTTTTGGCGGTAACGATAATGGTGGTCGAGTAGATCATGTTGTGCGGGGTGGAGAACCCTCACTCCGCGCAAGGGGGATGAGGGCACCACGTTGCGTTAAAATGGTCAAGTACCCTCGAGGCAGTTACACAGTGCTTACAACTGTNACTCGGCAACCAGGTAACCATTTTTTTTTTTACCTCGTTGTTTTTTTGGCGGTAACGATAATGGTGGTCGAGTAGATCATGTTGTGCGGGGTGGAGAACCCTCACTCCGCGCAAGGGGGATGATCGCACCACGTTGTGTTAAAATGGTCAAGCACCCTCGAGGCAGTTACACAGTGCTTACAACTGTCTCTGGAAGTGAAAGCACCGCAGAAAATATTTTAAGTCATACGCAGCTGTTATCCGTATGCAAGGAAGTAAGCACAATGCCGAACACCCTTAGCAGGATGCAGCGCACCCTTCATGCGACTCGCCGAATACCTCACGGCGCTTCGCGCTTGGTGATGTGGGAGGCTGGTCCGGTGAGAACCCGGCGTGCTCCGTCCCGGCTTTGTAGGGATGCGAGGTCAATGGTCCTACGACTAGACTATGGCATGCACACACCCCCGCCCCACAAATATTTGATCCCGTGGTATCACACGTGTCAAATGAAATCCATTGTTTATCACATTTTGAGGCCTATCAGCTGGTACGGCGGTTGGCTGTTTCGGGTTCAATTTCCAGACACCGCCGTTACTTGCAGTACTGCTGTTGTAGAATAACAAACTTGTTACAGAATAGATACGACGCGGGTCGGCAACAGGCAAAGATACCTGTGACCGGGCGCACGTCAACCTAATCAAGGCAGAGAGTGACACAAATGACGTACAATGTGTACAACCCAAATACATTTCGTACGGGGGCCTCCGGGAACCTCTCCGGCGGCGGAAAGGGCTGGGGAACTGCGGAATTCGGCGCTTTAACGCACCGAATGGCTCGGAGATGAATACAGCGTATGTTCATCACCATACAACTACGCCAGACCCGCATGGGAGAAACGTTATGCGATATGTTTACCGCTAAGGTTAGGTTTAGGGAAACGCTGGGCAGGGAAGCGCTAACTGCGACGCCCGCTGCCGTTAACCGGGACACGCGCCCGGATGGGACGAAAACCAGAACGACACCCTTGCTGTTGAGGACACGCAATTAACAATCAACCCCCGGCCTGCTGTCCGACTCGGAACAGTATTTGTAGAGCCTGGAGACGGCAACTGATTGACCCACGGATGTAATTCCGCCGGTTGAAAGGTGCAGATCAACAATCACAACTATAGAGCGCAGCCAAGGGTCAGCCCAGAGACGAAAG